GCTGAATTCCACGGCAGAAAGCCAAACGAGATCGCCGCCACGGAATGGGCAAGGAAGACGCTGGCAATTGGCCTGTTGGCTCATACGTTGCTGTGTCTTAGCCATCTGGTCGTGTGCCTTGACAAGTAGCTCTTGCATCCGACGCAAGAAAAGAAGATTGTCGTCGCTCTCGGTCGTCCGTGGAATGATTGTGTCCAACGGAGAAGTAACCGGCGAGCCGTGCTCGAACTCGAAGGGCGACATCCCGATAGTCGGGTGGATGGACGAGTTGTATGCCAACTCGACATCCTGCAGCCGCTCAACCCAATCCTTTTGGTCGGGATGGATGATGCGCCCTCTCCGTTTGGCCATCGGTTTGGGGTTGGCGAGCCGAACTTGGCTTGAGAGATGAGCCCCATCGTTTGATGAACGCCAACCAAAAATCGGACATGAACCAAGTTTCGCGATCGCAGACGATTTCGTTTGGGTAACCCTTGGTTCGAATCCAACCAGTGTATAGAACCTCGGCCAACTCCGGCGCCTTGGCATGATAGCGGCAAGGCAAAAACATAGCGAACTTGGTGAGTTGGTCGACCACCATGAGAATCCCATCCACACCGGTCTTGTGCTTGGGGAACGGCCCGGTGATGCCCACGGCAATTGCTTCCCTTTGGCGCAAAGGGACAGGTAATGGTCGCAACTTGCCGTACGGACGATGGTTGCGGGATTTGCAGCGTCGGCAAACCTCGCATGGCTCGCAATAGCGTGTGAGGTCGTGGAGAAGGCCGGGCCACCAAAATCGCTCGCGAAGATGGCCAATCGTGCGATTGACTCCAAAGTGTCCGGTGGCGGGAGCATCGTGGAACTCGCCAAAAGGCATGACCACCCACGCAAAATGCCCGTACCGCGTCTTGAACGCGGATTTGTAGCGATCGTTCGGCCGGATCGAAATCTGATGATATCCCGACTTCAAATCCAACTTAGAAAAATATTTCCCGCCACCCAATCGCTCAAGAAGATCGATGATACGAGGAAGAGGCTTCGCATTTTTGACGGTTTGCGCGTTGAGCTTGTGGTAGTCTATGCACAATCGCAGATCCTTGTTCTTCTTCCGTACGAAGAGAACTGGCGCTCCATATGGGGAGTTACTACGGGGAATCCAGCCCTTGTCCGACAAGTCATCGAGTTGCGCGCAGAGGACCGTAAGCTCCTCCTCGCTCATGCGATAAATGCAACCTTTCGGCGGCACGACACCGGCCTCAAGAACGATCTCGTGAGAGATCAGCCGATCAGGCAGCACACCGATAGGTGACTCGAAGATGTCGGCGAACTCGTCAAGCAACCGCACCACACGGGGTTCTGAAGACAAGTCCGTGGGTGAAGAGTCGGCTACCGCKACGGTCCGTAGGAAACATAGGCCGATTTCGTCGGGCAACTCGTAAGCACAAGTAGCCCGGAATGACTTGGCCGTCACCACTTGGCATCTAGTCGAAGGGTGCGGAAGAGGAATAGTTCACGACACTTCGGCGCCGAAAGCGTCCCGAACGGTAAGAATCCGCCGGTGGAAGGTGACCGTGTTATCCGCACTTGCAAGCCAAGGTATTCCCAAAAGAATGTCGAAGTCCATGTCCAAAATGTCGAATGTCACCGGTTCACATGCATGAGGTGTGAAATACACCGGTACGACCTCGATGTAGAGGTCGATAAGTTGTTGCGTCCTTCCGTCCGCTAACTTGATCGTCGTCGGGTTTGCCTTCCTCCGAACTTTTGTGCCAAGGCCAGCCCTTTGCATAAAGGCTTAGCTCATGAAATTGTGAGACGCGCCGCTATCCAGCAAAGCGCTGCAAGACACTTGCCCAACTTGGATGCGAACATAGAGGAGCGGTGCGTTGTTGTCATCGTACCACTGCTTCGAAACTCGTGGGCCACCTTGGTAACATACGCAAGGATGTCCCCCACCTCAGCTTCGTCATCCGTCGGCGAAGTTGGTGGTTTATAGAAGGATAGATACGTGTGAAGATGAGCGCATAATATTGCGCATTGCGGTTCCGGCATGCGCCCCGTGGTCGGGAGAGGAAGCCATGCAAAATCCTTGGACGTTGTCAGGCGGCTCCAGCCTTACGCCGCCCTTTACTTCCTTGATGATAACACTGGAGAAGCAATGAATTCAGTGGTGTTGCCAGGCGGGGCCCTGGCCGACGTCAAAAAGATATGACGTCAGATTCGTACGACAAGTACCGAGGCAGAGGGATTAGGAAAAAGCCAAGACTCATGAGCTCCGAGTGAGCCACAGTTACGCACACTATTGAGGCATGTCATCGCCAAGACATAAAGGGACAGCTACTCCAGGAGAAATGTCGAAGGCTCCTGATAAAAGACGAGCAAGAAGGTCGGGCTCACATTAAGAACGGGACAATGAACGAAACAATGGGGGGGCGCCAACGCTTGAGACGAGCCTTTGAGCGGGTTAAGTGACTGTAACACCAGAATTCATCGCCGGGTCAAAATCAAGGGAAAACTCTACAAGAGCACCCTTGTGGCCGTTGCGTTTGGGCTATAAAAAGCGTTGTGGGCCTTAGATTGGAGAAAGGGGCTCTCGGGCCATGGAATTACTAAACCCAGGGTTCGGCCCCTGCGAAATTTTATAAGGCTGGTACCTTTCGCGTGGGGACCACGCGAGCATAGGCCCGGACCTAGGTTCGAGAGGAGGCCCGGTACCAGGGCGCTTTTCACGGAAAACTCTTCGAGGACGTAAATAGGCCCGGGTACGGGCTCGGGGAAGTTGCGGTACCGGGGCGCTGCAAACTTATCGGCAACCTTGAAGCTTGTGGATGCTGAGGAGCACTGAGAGAAGGGCCCGACAAACTATATTAGCCCAAACGGGCTAAAAGGCGGGGCACTTCGGGATATGCACGGAGTTGGCACAGGCGTGCTAGCTCGCTAGTGCACTAGGCTCTTCCCACATGCGGACTTCCGGGAGGCGCATGAAGCTAGCACAGGTGCGCTAGCTCACGAGGCAGCTGTGGACCTTTGGGCGGACGTACTCACAGGCGCACGACCGAGTTGGGTGAGCTCTGGGAGAGCCAAGGATCGAGGAGACGCACGAAGGAAGAGGTAAGGGAGGCACGCGCACCGGAGTGGGGGCACGCTGGCACGTGCGAATTGCAGCCTAGGCGAGCATGCCCGAGAGTGCCGCAGCCGCTCTTGCGCGATCACGCGCAGGTCAGGAGCGACGCGCATCACTGCGCACTATCGCGGAGCGTGCGCGCAGCGGCGCGTATCTCTGTGCACGATCGGGGAGCGGGTGCGCAGTCGTGCGCATCGCTGCGCACCATCGAGGAGCGCCAGGGCAGCCGCGGTACCACTGTGCACTATCGAGAAGCGCGCGTGCAGCGTCACGCCTCACTGCGCATGATCGGGATTCGGGTGCGCAGCAGCGCGCCTCACTACGCACGATCGGAATTTGGGTGCGCAGCAGCATGCCTCACTACGCACGATCGGGATTCGGGTGTGTG